ACATGGAGACTGCTCCCTGATTGGTCAAGGTCTCTCAAGGCAGTGATAATTAATGGCCTACTAACTGGAATGTGTTAGTTCAATGTTCAGTATTTCAGTGTTCAGAGTTCTGTGTGTCAGTGTAGGAGTTGTGAGTCGTGTCAGAGAGAGCTAGCAAAAGATCCGTGTTCTGTTTCTGTAAATAGTCCACTGTATATAATAAACACCTAACTACAAGTTCCTAGTTCCTGCTTTGTCTATCCTGTCTACAGCCAAGTCGCCAATTGCTTCCATGGATTCTGTGTGTACTCTGCTAGGTCTGGCTAAGGTCCTGCAACTAGTCAGAAAGTTGCGAAATACCAATAGGTTTTGCCAATACCACTGTGGTGGGAAGGTAAACGGCGTTTCTGCGTGCTCTGGCACTTGTCACAGTCCTCCGTGCGCCAGTAGCAGTTTAGTCCTGCTGGCCACATGACCCAGAAAGCTGTCTGTGGACAAACGCCGGCTCCCTTGGCCTGAAAGCGAGATGAGCTCTGTAACCCCATACAGTGGTACCTCGGGTTACAGATGCTTCGGGTTAAGCATTTTCAGGTAACGGACGTGCCAAAACCCGGAAGTACCAGAATGGGTTACTTCTGGGTTTCGGTGCTCGCGCATGCGCAGAAATGCTAAATTGTGCTTTGCGCATGCACAGAAATTTTGAAATACTTTATTGCCACTTGTACAACTTGTATACAGTGAGATTACACGAGCACACACACACACCCCACTCAGCTCTCTTAGTCTTAATTCCCCTTGTTTACTGACGCACACCCACCAAACCCGAAAGTCAGTTGCCCTGTTGTTATCTTTTCATTCAGCAGCCTAACAGCCCACGGATAGAAGCTGTTCTTTACCCGGTTGGTGCGACTAATCCTGCTTCTATATCTTCTGCCCGAGGGCAGGAGATCAAGAAAGCGCCAGCCAGGGTGTGAATCATCCCTGAGAATTTTCCTCACTCTCCTGAGTTCTTCCGCTATTTCATCCAGCGGATTCACAGGACAGCCCATAATATCTTGTGTGTATTCACCACCCTTTTAGGCACTTCCTATCAGTTGATGTCAAACCAGCGTACCACACTGTGATGCAGTAGGACAGGACACTTTCTGTTGTGGACTGGTAGAAGGAGATCATCAAATGTTGATTGACATCATTCTTTTGCAATAATCTGAGGAGATGGAGTCTCTGTTGGGCTTTCTTAACTGTAGGGATCAGATGGGCACTTGGGTTGTACTGATTTTCCAAGTAAGGTCTTCACTGAGATAAACCCCTAGCAATCGTGTCACACATGCGCGCAGACACGGTACTGCGGGTTGCAAACGTGCCCCCTGCACGGATCACGTTCACAACCCGAGGTTCCACTGTACAGTGGTACCTCGGGTTAAGTACTTAATTCGTTCCGGAGGTCTGTTCATAACCTGAATCTGTTCTTAACCTGCAGCACCACTTTAGCTAATGGGGCCTCCTGCTGCTGCCGCACCGCCGGAGCATGATTTCTGTTCTCATCCTGAAGCAAACTTCTTAACCCGAGGTAATATTTCTGGGTTAGCGGAGTCTGTAACCTGAAGCGTATGTAACCCGAGGTTCCACTGTACTCGCCTTTGACTGGACTTAACCGTCCAGGGGCCCTTAACCTTACACCTTTCTGAGCCTTTTTCCAACTCTGCAATATCCTTTTTGGATTGTGCACAGGACTCCAAATGCGGTCGCACCGTAGGTTTGTGCAACAGCGTTATAATATTGTCCGTTTCAATTCCAGTTCCTTTACTCATGATCCCTAGAAAGGGATTTGCCTTTTTCCACGGCTGCCACTCACAGGGCTGACCCTCGTTTGTCCTCTGCCAGGGATGGCTCAGTTAGTCCTACTCGCTATATAAGTTTCCCCTCTTGTAAAATTTCCTTGCAGCTTTTAGCCCAAGGTGCCTTCCCTCGCAAGGAACAAACAAACAAATCTGCAAGCTGTTAAGAGTTTGCCTCTGTTTAGCCCAACTTGCCTCTCTTTGATCGTCTGCACAAGCCGGAGGCTCAAATGGACCCCATCTTTTATTTATACAAATCCTTTGTTCTTAAAGATGTATGAATTACTTCAGTTTGCTAAGCTGCTGTTATTGCTTTGAGAAAAAGCCCGTTAATACGCTGTCTTTTCCACTTCCCCTTTCCACCCCCTCCCCTTTCTTCTGAGTTCTGCAATATGAATGCTGGAGGAAGCCTGCCCATAAATTTCCATTTGTCATGTCATATATATATGCGCTTGCTATATGGAAGTGGATTTTGGAAGCTTAAAATTAGGGTGCCCTTTAAGGGATCATAGAACCGTAGTGCTGGAAGGGACCCCGAGGGTCATCTAGTCCAACCCCCTGCAATGCAGGAATCTCAGCTGAAGCATCCATGACAGATGTCCATCCAACCTCTGCTTAAAAACCTCTTAAGGAAGGAGAGCCCACAATTTCCTGTGAGAGGCGGTTCCACTGTCAAACAGCTCTTACTGTCAGAAAGTTCTTCCTGGTGTTTAGTCGGAATCTCCTTTCTTGCAACTTGAAGCCATGGGTTCGAGTCCTCCCCTCCAGAGCAGAAGAAAACAAGCATGCTCCATCTTCCAAGTGACAGCCCTTGAGATATTTCGCTAGCAGAAGGGGAATCCGGCAACAACTTCTTCTTCTTCTTCTTCTCCTTCTTCTTCTTCTTTTCATTTCTATACCACTTTTTCTCCTTTTCCATGATCCTCTTTCTGCAAGGAGGTAGAGTTATTGTTGTGTTCAGAGGCTTCTCATAGGCATCTGTGAGAAAAGGATGCACGGGACTTTGGTCTGACCCTGCAGGCTGGCTCTTACGTTCAGAGGTAAATTACTTAGGTATCTGGTGAAACGTAGTGTGTTTCAGATGGCAGCCTTAGTGCGATCCGTTTCCAGTTCTGGCAGGAAGAGATATGTAAAGATCAGGCATCGACTCGCTCAGAACAAACCGAAATCAGGAACTGTGCACTGGATTTGAGCGGAAAGATGTCAAAAGAGAGAGAAAGAAAGAGCAGGGCTCCAGTGCTTCTGTGTAGAAAAGCAAATTTCAACAGGTGCTGTTTGTGATGCAAGCTGCACCTACTGAAACCCCCTCTCCTGCACAGGTGGGATCTATATGAGAGGCATATAGAGATGAGAGGCACAAATACAAGATGGGTGACACCTGGCTTGAGAGCAGTACATGTGAAAAGGATCTAGGAGTCTTGGTTGACCACAAACTTGACATGAGCCAACAGTGTGACGCGGCAGCTAAAAAGCCAATGCAATTCTGGGCTGCATCAATAGGAGTATAGCATCTAGATCAAGGGAAGTAATAGTGCCACTGTATTCTGCTCTGGTCAGACCTCACCTGGAGTACTGTGTCCAGTTCTGGGCACCACAGTTCAAGAAGGACACTGACAAACTGAAACGTGTCCAGAGGAGGGCAACCAAAATGGTCAAAGGCCTGGAAACAATGCCTTATGAGGAACGGCTAAGGGAGCTGGGCATGTTTAGCCTGGAGAAGAGGAGGTTAAGGGGTGATATGATAGCCATGTTCAAATATATAAAAGGATGTCACATAGAGGAGGGAGAAAGGTTGTTTTCTGCTGCTCCAGAGAAGCGGACACGGAGCAATGGATCCAAACTGCAAGAAAGAAGATTCCACCTCAACATTAGGAAGAACTTCCTGACAGTAAGAGCTGTTTGACAGTGGAATTTGCTGCCAAGGAGTGTGGTGGAGTCTCCTTCTTTGGAGGTCTTTAAGCAGAGGCTTGACAACCATATGTCAGGAGTGCTCTGATGGTGTTTCCTGCTTGGCAGGGGGTTGGACTCGATGGCCCTTGTGGTCTCTTCCAGCTCTATGATTCTATGATTCTATAGTTCAAAACACTGGAGGGCACCAGGTTGCAGAAGTCTGTCATGTTTCTTGGTTCTGACTCCCTTGCTTTGGCTGGCTGGAGAGATGTGCTCCATTACAGAGGAGACACATGGACTTCTGCATTTGTACGCAGAGCAAAGCCAGATCGGGAGGAACATGCTATTCTAACCAGAAGCTGCTGTTTGGAGAGTCAGAAGGATGGCCCTTCGTAGTGCGACTTCAAACCCGGGTGCAAAGCTTTCGGATCGACTCTCCTTGAGATCCTGAACCGAAGTGAGTGATGCATTTGGTTAGGAATGCAAGAATCAGACTGTAGGTGGATTTAGTCCAGCAATGCTCCTAGCAAACCCACAAATGGGGAAGGGTAGCTACAGTCCTCTCCTTTGTGGTTGTCCCACAAGCAACTAGCATCTGGAGATCTGCATCCTCCAGACAACTGGTTTCTTGAGGATTCATCCTGGTTTGCTTGCACTAAGTTCACAGGGAGGTTAGGCTCATGTCAGGGGAACACCATATGTTTAAAGCACCTTTGGCGCTGTGGTCTAAACCACTGAGCCTCTTGGGCTTGCTGATCAGAAGGTCGGCGGTTCGAATCCCCGTGATGGGGTGAGCTCCCGTTGCTCTGTCTCAGCTCCTGCCAACCTAGCAGTTTGAAAGCACACCAGGGCAAGTAGATAAATAGGTACCACTGTGGCAGGAAGGTAAATGGCGTTTCTGTGTGCTCTGGTTTCCGTTACGGTGTCCCGTTGTGCCAGAAGCGGTTAAGTGCTGCTGGCCACATGACCTGGAAAGCTGTCTGTGGACAAACGCCGGCTCTCTCGGCCTGAAAGCGGAGATGAGTGCCCCATAGTTGCCTTTGACTGGACATAACTGTCCAGGGGTCCTTTACCTTTACCTAAAGCACCTTTATACCACTTTAACAGTCATGGTTCCCCCCAAAGAATGCTGGGATGTCTACCCACTCACAGAAGTACGGTTGAAAGCAGCCTTAACAAACTACAATTCCCAGGATTCTCTGGGGGATAAGTCATGTGTGCTAAACATGTGTTCATCCTACATGTTCCTGAGGATATTCAAGTCCAGCTCGTTGCAATGCAGGAAATTGCAGTTGTCCTATACGGGGATCAAACCTGCAACCTTGGTGTTATCAGCTCCACGCTCTAGCCAACTGAGCTATCCAGATGTTTAACTGGTAATCAGTCACAGCCAGTCCATCATTTGAAAAATAAGACTTTAGAGCCGCCTCAATCTCAAATGGCAACTAGATATTTTGTTTTGTTGACTGTAACCTTGGTTTAAGGAGCCATCTGGTGCCCAGCTTATATATCTGAGTTTCCAACACTGCTTGTTTAACCATCTCCCATCGAAAACTGGGGGGCTGAAATCTGATTAACTGTAGCCAGATTGGGCTCCCTATATATGAACTCGCTTTCTAAAGAGATGGGACTTGTTGCAACCGTTTCATTCCTTTGATTATATTGAGACAAATGCTGGAGTCGGCTGTGCGCACATTAGATAAGATTTATGTCGAACCTTCTTGGGGTGGCTGCTGATCAATGGAAAGCACAGAAATGGCTTTATTGCAACCTGGGAAGCTGCTTTTTCTTGAGCTTGAGCATATTTGTGCGGTTATAGGTCTTGACAGTCAAAGTGCTTGCACTTATCATGACATTTTGTAAGTGCTCCTTTGCTTCGGCTGCGAGTGGCCCCCTGAGAAAAGTTTGGTGTGCGTGAATAAAAATATATAGAGAAAAACATCTGGGTCACACCAACCCAGCACAAACAACAAAAGTGTCTTGCAGCTCCTTAAAGACTAAAAACTAGTTTATTGTGGTAGAACCTGTGTGTCAACCAGATCCCACTTCACAGGAAGCGTGAAACTGTGTCTTCCCTTGGCAGACATATTTGTACATTGGCTTGGGAGTAGATGGGAGGGGAAAGTGGTAATCTCTCCAAGATGAAAGGCCATAAGATTATAAGAAGAGATTGTTGGATCAGGCCCATGTGTGGTCCAGCATCTTGTTCTAACAGTGGCCTGAGGGACGGGTGGCGCTGGGGTCTAAACCACTGAGCCTCTTGGGCTTGCCGATCAGAAGGTTGGCAGTTCGAATCCCTGTGATGGGGTGAGCTCCCATTGCTCTGTCCCAGCTCCTGCCAACCTAGCAGTTCGAAAGCACACCGGTGCTAGCAGATAAATAGGTACCCCTGTGGCAGGATTGTAAACAGCATTTCCGTGCACTCTGGTTTCCGTCACGGTGTCCCGTTGCGCCAGAAGCAGTTTAGTCATGCTGGCCACATGACCCGGAAAGCTGTCTGTGGACAAACGCTGGCTCCTTTGACCTGAAAGTGAGATAAGCTCCGCAGCCCCATACAGTGGTACCTCGGGTTACAGATGCTTCAGGTTACAGACTCTGCTAACCCAGAAATAGTACCTTGGGTTAAGAACTTTGCTCCAGGATGAGAACAGAAATTGCTCGGCAGCAGCGGGAGGCCCCATTAGCTAAAGTGGTAATTCAGGTTAAGAACAGTACCTTGGGTTAAGAACGGACCTCCAGAACGAATTAAGTTCTTAACCCGAGTTACCACTGTAGTCACCTTTGACATAAGAAGAAGAAGAGTTTGGATTTGATATCCCACTTTTTCACTACCCTAAGGAGTCTCAAAGCGGCTAACATTCTCCTTTCCCTTCTTCCCCACAAGAAACACTCTGTGAGGTGAGTGAGGCTGAGAGACTTCAGAGAGGTGTGACTAGCCCAAGGTCACCCAGCCATAGCTGTCAACCTTCCCTTTTTTTGCGGGAAATCCCCTTATTCCAGCGCCATTTCCCGCTGCTTCCGGCTGCTATCCCAGATTGCTAGATATCCCGTAGACTGTCCCCGGGACAGGTGAGTCTGCTGATCCCCTATTTTTGAGGCTGCTGATCCCTTATTTTCAAATCTGAAAGTTGACAGCTATGCACCCAGCAGCTGCATGTGGAGGAGCGGGGAAGTGAACCCGGTTCACCAGATTACGAGTCCACTGCTCTTAACCACTACACCATACTGGCTCTGTACCTTCATCCTTACCTTCTAACAGAGGCCTACCAGTTGCCTGTGGGAACCCCACAAGCAAGATCCAACCGCAAGAACCCTCTCCCTTCCTGTGGTTGCTGGCAACTAGTATTTAGAAACATTACTGCCTCTACAGTGTTAGAAATTAGCCAGGCGCGTTTTTCGTTCTGCCACCTATTTCTCCAGGAAGTCCACGGTTCACCCTCTTCCTCCGTTAATCCCTACAACGACCTTGCGAGGTAGACTGTGAGGCAGGGACTGACTCCAAGGTCACCCGGTGAGCTTCATGGCTGTGGGGATTTGAACCCTGATCTCCCGGGTTCCAGTCTGATACTCTAACCACTCCACCACACTGCTGGTGTGCAGCACTAGTGGGGAGAGAGCTGCTGCACTTGGGTTTTGCATCTGGGCTTCCGTTGTTGCAGACGGGCCACTGCCTTGATCCTGTTTTGGAGTCTCGCCTTCAACAATCAATAATAAGTGCATTTTCTGTGTTTCCGTCCTGCATTTACGGAGCTCATCATCAGGACTCGAGATTTGTCTGGCTGGAGACCTTGATTCTTTGAGATGCATGCGTTAAGGTCTTTTATTCTTCTGTTTTTAGAAGCAGGCATTTAACCTCTGAGTTGACCTTCGTTTCCTTTTGAGATAATGCTGCTGATTTCATTTGGATTTCGCTCCCCCCCCTTGTGTTTAATGCTGTTCTGTGCTTTGATAACTCATTTGAGTTGGAGATCCGATTATAAATCCCCGGAGAAATAAATAACTGTACACTGACGGGGCTTATAAAAGCGCTACTAATAACATAGATCCCCAAACTTTTGCTTGGGTTTACTGCTGTGCCTCTTGATTTCCCCCCAAGCCTCTGAGCATGTGCTGTGTGCTATTCCTCTGCCCAAGACCCTCCAGTGGGCTCTGTTCCTTTTAGAGGAAGCGGGCAGGTTGCCTGCGGTCAGAGGGATCAGCTTCAGATAAGCCGGAAGCCTCAGGAAATCTCCTTTTGCAAACAAATCCCCATTCCACTCCCTCTGCCTACATTGGAGTGTGCGGCTTAGGGTATCTTCAATCTCTCCGGAAACATATTTTGAGCCTTGAGATTCCTTGGGGACTTTGTCCCTCCCCACTATTCTGTTTCAGACTGCAAAGCAAAAGATGGTTCTGCACGTTCAATGGAAAAAGCCACGGCACCCCTGTCTGCAGCTTCTGAACATCACACACTTTCTCAATGACACTTTGATGCAAGGTGCTTCTGGGTACCGGTTGCTGGAGGCTGCAGGACTTGTGTTCGAATCCTGTTTGTGGGATTTCAAGTTGGGCATCTGGTTGGCGGGATGCTGGACTAGAAGGGCCACTGGCTTGACCCAACAGAGTCTCTTCTGATGTTCTTGTGCCCTTAGGCAAAGGTCAAGAGTTGCAGACTTTGTTTCAGGGCTCTGTATGTCTGCTTTTTAAACTGCATTTTAACCTGTACTTTAAATTGGTCCCCCCCCCCATTATGTTTTTACTGTAATTTTACTGGTGTTAGCTGCCCTGAGCCCGGCTCTGGCCAGGGAGGCTGGGGTATAAATAAAATTTTTATTTTTTTTATTTTTATTATCATCATCATGGATTTGGATTTGATATCCCGCTTTATCACTACCCGAAGGAGTCTCAAAGTGGCTAACATTCTCCTTTCCCTTCCTCTTCCACCACAAACACTCTGTGAGGTGAGTGGGGCTGAGAGACTTCAGAGAAGTGTGACTAGCCCAAGGTCACCCAGCAGCTGCATGTGGAGGAGCGGGGAAGCGAACCCGGTTCACCAGATTACGAGTCCACCGCTCTTAACCACTACACCACACTGGCTCATCATCATCATCATTATCATTATTACTATTATTATAGCAGGGGTCAGCACAATTTTTCAGCAGGGGGCCAGTCCACTGTCCCTCAGACCTTGTGGGGGGCCGGACTATATTTTGAAAAGAAAAGAAAAATGAACAAATTCCTATGCCCCACCAATAACCCAGAGATGCCTTTTAAATAAAAGGACACATTCTACTCATGTAAAAACACGCTGATTCCCGGACCGTCCGCGGGCCGGATTTAGAAGGCGATTGGGCCGGATCCGGCCCCCGGGCCTTAGTTTGCCTACCCATGTTTTATAGGATGGCATCAGCTCTCCTGAGTTTTTAAGGGTTTATAAAAGAGACGAAGTTCCTTGAGCCTTGGCGTGAAGAGCACTGGAGCGCCATGATCAAATATTCATGATGAACATTGGTGCTTATTTGAAACTATAAATCCCACAACAGTTTCTTGCACATTCAACAGTTTGCTGATTAGCATTCTTCTGTCTGGGCTTTACGAAGACAATAATCGCGAATGCTTATGAGCTCTGCAGAGTCGTCGTTAGATACACAAATATGTTGGCGCCACTTGAGAATGAAAAGGAAATTTCCAAGCGTTCCTAAAATGAGAATAAGTGAGAATTTGGTAGCCCTGGGTACTTCCAGTGCAAGATTATTGTGGCCTCCTCTTTATATGAATGGATTTTTTTTATTATTATGGTCACAGACCAAAAACATGGAACGTACAATTAGAAACATGCAACTAGTTTAATACAACTGAAGATAAACATGTTTTTCTCAAAGAGCCAACAAGACAATTCTCCTGGAAAAGAATGTTTCAGCTGCCTTAGTAATATGGGAAGGAATGTCCCTTTAAGTGAAACTGTACAAAATCTACTTAAAGTCTTCCCAGGAGGGTTCTTAATGGAGGAAGAGAATTGTCCTCTCTGAACAAGTTACAATGCAGAATAACATCTTCAGCAGCTCTGTTACTCCAGCTCCACACAGGCAGAAACGTTTGTTAACCAGGACCTTGTTTAAATCTTGATACCTTTTTTAAAAAATTACATTTGTAATTAATATTTACATATGTATTAAGGTAAAGGGACCCCTGACCATTAGGTCCAGTCGTGGGTGACTCGGGTTGCGGCACTCATCTCGCTTTACAGGCCGAGGGAGCCGGCGTTTGTTCGCAGACAGTTTTTCTGGGTCACGTGGCCAGCATGACTAATACGCTTTTGGCAAACCAGAGCAGCGCACGGAAACGCTGTTTACCTTCCCGCAGGAGTGGTACCTATTTATTTACTTGC